ATTGAGGATACCTCTCTGGGCCAAGCCTCTCAAACAGTCTCAGCACTTCCAGCTCCTGCTCTCAGGACACCAAACAAGGCAGTACCGAAATGGGCCAGCCCTGCCGACATGACCCATCTGCCTCCTTCTCTTCTCCCACTCTGTGCTCTGCATTGCCCCTTTGGTTCTGTCCAATCCCCTCTGGACAAACCCCTTCTCCCAGGCCAGAGACCATCCGGGACCTTTGCTGAGCTGCTCTCAGTGCAGGGCAGGTAAGCCTCGATGCTCTGGCCAAACCTCCTTCAAGGAAAGGAATTTGGCTGATGGTTGCCCTACCTGTACCTCAGACCAGCTCCCTTGCACTGGCTGCTCCTGAGTTTTCACTCTTCTACCTCAATAAAGTTTTCTTGCATCAAAACCTCAGATGACTCCTTTATTCTCCCAGGTTTCTTCCTGTCTCACTCAGCACTAAGCCAGGGTTGTAGAGGCCACTGGGGTGGGTGAAAAGGTGTACCAAGACCCCTTTTAGGTATTCTTTCTGCAGTTCTGTTACTCACGGCCACACTTTGCTCTTCCAGTCCATTATCACATGAAGCCTTCAGCTGTTGAAACACAGACCTGGATACGCTAATGCAGGTCTATCCTTGCCTCTGGCAAAAGCCCCTCATGGGTGGTGTGTTTAATTTTTCTGGATGCCAGTTGCTCCTGCCCATCATGGTCTTCTAGGTCTATCTCCGGCTCTGGTTGAGCAGGTCCATATCTTTCTTATTTTCCGTTCCCAGAGCTGAACACACATCTCCAGTCTCACCAGAGTGGAGCAGAGGAGCAAGATTCCCCCTCTTCACCTGCTGCCCATGCTGTGGGGATGAGCCCAGGGCATAGGGAGGTTTCTGTTCAGCACATTCCCATGGCAGGCATGTCCAATTCTTCATCCACCATCACTCCAAGTGCTCCTCCTCAGGCTCCATCCCCTCATCCCCATCCTGTATCCTGCAGGTTTGGAATTGCTCCAATCCAGTTGGAGCAGAGTCTTCCCCTCTGCTCTGCTCTGCTCTGGTCATATTGGAGAGCTCTGTTTATCTTTGAGTTACTGGAAATAAGGAAGACAAGACTGCTGGAGAAGATCAAGAGTGTGGCCTTGAGGATGATCTATGGCTGAAGGTTTGGGACAGCCATTGCCCATAACATTGGGGCATTTTTCAGGCTAGCTGCTCTTGCCTGGCTCAGCCTGGTGAGTCGTGAGGGTGGGAATGTTTTCCTTCCCAAAGCTCTTCAATTCCATATTCTGCTTTTGAAGCCATGCCCATCTTACCTTGGCAGCAGCTTTAGTGGGTTGGTATTCATTCCAACACTGGTGGGTGAGGGAAGAGATGCAAGTATCCTGTACCTGGACTTGTGCAAGTCTCTTGTTCCTGTGCCAGACAACATCCTTTTCCCTAAGTTGGAGAGATGTGGGTGTTGGTTGGACTGTTTGGTGGGTAAGGAATGGGCGGCATGGTCTCACTCAAAGAGTTGTGGTCAATGGCTCCATGTCCCTGGTGAAGAATGGGCATGAGTGGTGACCACTGGAGACTCACGTTGGGATCATTATGATTTTGTGTAATTATCAGAAATCTGGGTGCTGGGATTTAGTGGGATGATGAGAAAAAGCAGGGAGTGCTCCAAGCTGAGTAGTGTGGTTGGTTGACTGGAGAGAAGGGATGGCATCCAGAGAGGCTGGAACAGGTTGGAGATGTGGGATATTGTCAGTTTCATGAAGCTGAACATGGCTGAATGCAAGGTCTTGCATCTGGTTTGGAGCAATGCCAAACATGCCTGTGAACTGGACAATGAGTGGATTGAGAGCAGCCCAGGGGAGAAAGATTTGGGGTGTTGGTGGATGAAGAACTGGACATGCCCTGCCATGTTAATGAGCTGACCAGAAACTCCCCGTGTCCTGGGCTCATGCCCACAGCATGGGCAGAAGGTGTGGGGCAGGGGGACAGATTCTGCCCCTCTGCTCAGGTCAGGAAAGACTGGAATTGTGTGTTCAACCCTGGGACCTGAAAATAAGAGAGACACGAAGCAGCTTGAACAGATCTGAAAATGGAATATGATGAGGGTCTGGAGCAACTGATGTTCAGCCAAAATGAACACACCATCCATGAGGGGCTTGCGCCAGAATTAAGGCTAGACCTGCATTAGTGTACCCAGTCCTGTGATTAAGCAATTTAAGTTCTTCTCTGTGATGCACACAAAATTTGCCAGTGTGTCCTAGAGGGTAGTGGAAGTGCCAAACCAACTCCAAGAGAGACGTTGGTGCAATTTACATCCTCCACAAATGGATTGTGGACACATGGATTTGTGCAAAGTATGGTTGGCACAACTTTGTCACAAAGAAGTTGAAGGAGACATCTCAGGTTGCAAGGCAAGAGAATTTTATTGAGGCAAAAGAACAGTGAGAGGCCAGGAGCAGCCAGTGCAAGGGAGCTTGCCTGAGGTGCAAGTAGGGTGACCATCAGCTGAAGTTCTTTGGTTGCAGATGGTTTGGCCAGAGCACCAAGGACGTCCTGCCCTGCTGTGAGAGTAGCCCGTCAGAGATGCCCAAAGGTCTCTGACTTGGGAGAAGGGGTTTGCAGCAGAGAGAGCTGGACCGAGCTAAATAGGTCATGCAGAGCATGGAGTGGGAGAGGAGGAGGAGGCAGATGGGCCATGTTTGCAGGCAGCCAGGGCTGGGCCCTTGGCTACTGCATTGCTTAGTGCCCTGAGAACAAGAGCTGGAAGCGCTGAGCCCATTTGAGGCATACGAAATGCCTGGGGTGTGTTCCAGGGAGTGCGTGGTGTCAGGAGTGGTGCTGAGGGTCCTTAGCAGTTGTAGCCACCCCTTCGGCCATAGCAGCCCAGGCCTCCCAGCCCGTAGCCACAGCCCAGCCCATAGCCAAATCCACGGCCATAGCCAAAGCCACCAAAGCCACCAAATCCAC